GACTGAGAATATGTCAAACACCAAGAGGAAATGTGAGGAGACTGGCTTCCACTCAGACCTTTCTAGGAAAGTTTCTTCAATAAAATGTTTTCACATACTTTAAACTGGGTTCTACAAAGCAGTCCTTGCATCACTAGTAACTGATAAAAAACTCAAATAAATAGATTCTTACAAAATGTTAAGCAATTGATAAACTAAAGCCACGGGTCAGAGAGAAATATAAAAGAAATAACCCAGGAGCCAAGAGGCTGTTGGGAGAGGGCTGGCTAGATTTCCTGCCTGAAGAGGCTCCACTGCTTCTCAGCACGGCCAGGAGAAGATCTTCCTGCCTGTGGTCAGGCCCCTACCCACTGTCCTATGCTGCCTCTCAACAGCATGTGAAACATTAAAATTTACTTTTTTTTTGCTAGAAAATATTTTTCTTTGTAAAGTACAAATTTTAACCAAACCAAAGTCCCAATGGAATGGGTTCCATATTTCTCATTCACATTAGCTACATCTTCCCTATGACTACTTCCTCTTGAGTCTCTAAAACGGAAAACTGGCATGGACTCAAGAGAACACAAAAGACGGGCACGCACTCACACACACAGGCAGGCATATTCCGAGGCAGGACAGAGAAGAGGGCCACTCACTAAGCGCTGCTGTATTTGCAAGCAGTAAAGCAAAGGGTTAACACGGGGGACCTCTCCGGGCTCTGATCACTTCCAAGTGCCTGGCAGAAGAGGGAGAAAACTGCTAAGATCAAAAGCAAAGGGCTCCTTAGAAAAGCCCAGCCCCCCTGGGGTTTTGCTCCAACTCTGTCGCCAAGATAAAGGGTTCAGAGATAAAGGCCAGGGGTTCCCAGGCAGCTGGAGGGCCCACCCTACACTTCCCTTCCCCTCCTTTCTCCTCTCATTAGCAGAGGGTCCTCCAGAAGGAAGCCAATGACTTGCCAAGAAGACTCCAGGCCTTCCAGGTGTAAAAACCAGGGAGAAGGCTCCATGTTCGCCCCAGGGCATCACAAGCTCTGAATTTCTTTGATTTTCCTGCAGGTGAATCCTTGAAGTAGAAAGGAGAACGCTGCCCCCAACGGCTGTCAGAGGCAGCAGCAGACACTAGCCAGTTTTTAAAAGTGCCACGGCAGTAAGAGCAGGCTACCCGACATGGGCCAGAAACTAAGCTCACATTAACTTTAAAATTTCCAATCAGCAGCTAACCTAACCCAAAGAGGGCAGTGCCAGACTAACCAACCTACCTACCTACCTTTCTTTCTTTCTTGGCAGAGTAACTAACCCTAGAGATGGAAGACATGATGTCTACTACGTGCCCCCCCACCATTGTCTTACCTGATCCTCACAACAACCCCTGATGGGGAACCCTATCTATTAGTGTCATCCTCGTTTCACAGATGCAGAACCTGGCCTCGGACGGTCTCTACTGGAAAGCCCCAAGGGTCTAGGACAGCCATCTCATATTTTTATCAATGGCAGGCTTATCAAAGTGGCCGATGTTTTACATAAAGCTGGAAGGAAAAGCTAGTCCTCAGTGATGGTCAGCATCCAAAGAGGTCTCAACAGGATGCAGAACTGGGCCGACCTGGAAATTCACTGGGAGTAAATGGTAGTCTTCTACTTAGGCAAGCTCTCGTGTGGTCACTATGAGTCAGCAGAGGGATGCGGCCGATAAGGAAGCTTGTAGGAGACATGTGACAGGAAAAGGCCAGAGCTCACTTCATAAAGGGGAAGTGGAGAGTGAGATATGAGAAGCCTGGACAAGATGTGGGAAGGAGGGAAAGACAGGGCACTGGGAGAGGGTTTAAAAGAGGTGAAGGGAGGGGTGATGCCAGAGAAAACTCCCCAACAAGGAGACGGCCCAAAGTGGCCCAGGAGGCCTGGCTCTCCCTCCCTGGGGCCTCCAAGCCAAGGAGGACCACCTGCTAGGCATGAGGGATGCTGTTCACACAAGAGTGCCATTAGACGGTTTCTGAGGTCCCCTGTGGCTCTCCAATTCCATGGCACAGGCCTCAAAAAACAGACCAAGGTTTGGCCTGCCTGGAAAAAAAGAAAGCAGCTGGCTTCTTGGGGCACACTAGGCTTCATCCCCTCTCTGAGGTCCACACCCAGCAGCAGGATCTTTGGGTTAAAGGGTATGGCTAACTTGGTCCCCTTCTTCAAATAATTCCAGAAGTACTTTACAGAATGTCAACAAACACTTTTAGGAGTGCCTGACCGGACAAGGGAGAGTGCCAGGATGCCAAGGATACAGTGTCTCTCCCTTCAAAAACAAGTAGGCAAAGACCTAGTAAAACAGAGCTAGGAAGTGGGTGCAGACATGAAGGAAGTGCCTGACCTGGGCCACCTCCCCTCCCTTCCTCTGAGCCTCTGACAAGGCTTCATTGGCCCAGTTTTCCTGCAGGGCCCTGCTTTTTGCTTCCTTCCATTTCCACATTCATTCCCAGCAGAATGAGGGGACTGGGAACAGAGGGACAAAACAAACATCCTGCTGTCTGGGCACTAAAGCAGCTTGAAAGGAGACAAGATGTAACTTAACTAAGTAAATATAAAGCATTAGGGGCTGAAGCCCTGGAAGTGAAGGCTGGAGACCACCTCTAAGCTATGATCTAATCTAATCAATGATCCCATGTGACCTTTCAGGCCCTAGGATCCTGGAGGAGGGTGGGGGGAACTGACCAGGGCCCTGGGAGATGCCTGAGAGTCTGGGAAGCAGAGGTGAGCATGGACTGCGCAGCCAGGGCACAGCACAGAGCTGAAGGATGGAAGAGGGTCACATCCAGAGAAGCAGGCCAGTCTGGTGGGCTGAGGAGCACATGGAGAAAAGGCAGCTGACCCAGAATGGAACAGCCTTTAAGTGCCAGAGACTGCACTTCACTGGTGAGCTTAGAGGGCAGGGCTCAGGCTTGGGCTTCAGGAATAGCCCCCCAGGGCCCCTTCCTCAATTCTGAAGCCCAGAGTTCTCTGCACATTTCCAGTAAGAACCTCAGAGATTGACCTCCCATGGCTGATGCTTCCTACCCCACATACTTAAGTTTGCTACTAAGATACAAGCAGGTGCTGTCCTATCCCAGGATCACAGGCCATCAGGCCAATGGCTTCATTTGACAGACAAGGGTAACTGAGGCTGAAGGGGGTTAAATGACTGACACAGGGTCTCACAGCCAGTGTATGTGGTAGGATTTGAAGCCAGATCTTCCCGACTCCCAGCGCTATGGAGCCACTGTATAGAGCCACTGTCTCCCCTCCCTATCCAACGTGGTGAACAGTCCTTTGTCTGGAGAGGTTAGGCCCCCAGTATGAGACACCATATCAGTCTTTAATAACAGGATCTGTCAGAACCTGGTTAAAAATAATCACAGATTTATAAATGAGTAAAAAGATTATTGTCTTTGATAAACAATAAACTTATAGAATCTGCTAGGAGGATTACATGGGTTTTTTTTTCTCCCCAAGCCTCAGCCTGTCAATGAACCTTTCTGTTCCAGAAGATACAAGGAAGGACCACAAAGCCATGCCAAACATTCCCTGGCAATTGTAATGGGAAGAAAACTAGACCAGAGGAGGAGGAGGGAAGTGGTTGTGGGCAGCAATCGACGTATGAACAAAAGGCCTCTGGAGGATGCATGCTATTCTATCACCAGCAAAGGAACATTTTAACAGTCAAGAGGAGAACAGAAGTGGGTGGGGGCACTGAAGGGATGAGCCAGCTCCAGGCCCTACAGTCATTTGGTGTGTGTCCAAAGATTCCCATGCCACCAGGGCCTCAAGGGGATCAATGTCTGCAGCAGCCCCCCCTCCCTCTGAGTGAAGCCAGCGCCAGGGCTCCACCAGGGCTCCCCTGGGGCCTGCCGGAGCCCAAGGCAAAATCTCTTTACTCCAACCCCAGACGAGCTCAGGAACAGAGTGACCTCCAACTGCCCAAGCTGAAAGGAACACCAGCGACGCTGATGTCATCAACTAACTTCACCCAGGGCCCAAGGAGGAGATTCTGGCCACAAACTAAGGAGAACCCCAGAGTCCAGTGTCATTCTCCATGTAGTCACTTGGTGCCCACCGGGCCCCTCTGATCACCTGAGCAGCAAATAGTTCCCACCTCTCCATGAGCTGGTGAGGTTGGGGAGGAGGCCCTGCCTTCAAATCCTGCCTGAGACGTCTACCTGCCTGCAAGTTCCAGGCAAGTCTGGGGCCCTCTTCTAACCTCGGGTCCTTCACCCTCTCCCAGGGTCACTGTAAGGTGTGGTGAGACCCCCACAGGGGCCAGGGCTCTGGCACCCACGTCACCTTCAGCAGAGAGAGCAGCCAAGGCTCAGGTGTGGCCCCTTAACGGCCGGAAGGCGGGGCAGCCCGCCCCCCCACCACCCTCCCCATCCTCCCCGGGCACGTGGAGATACCCACACACACACACACACACACGTGTGTACGTGTGTGTGTGTATATGTGTGTGTGTGTGTGTGTGTGTGTGTGTGTGTGTGTGGTTCTGCCAAGTTTAGGATCTGACGAGGGGGAGGGTCCCGAGCCTGTCCGGACCCCTCCCCCAAGCCCGGTCAGACAGTTCGAGGATGGGCCTGGTCAACTCTGCATTCGTCTCTTCCCCCCTGAGCCTCAGTTTCCCTGCCTGTAACACGAGGGGACTGGCCTAGCGTTAACTTCAGCTGGGGCATTCTGGGGGCCTTGGAAATTCTCTGCCTAAAGTCCCAAGCCCCAGGTACAGACAAACTTGGATGATGGGACGACCCCGTCCTCAATCCATCTCCCAAACCCAGTTGTCCGAACTCCTTTACGCATGTGCTAGAGTAAGCGTCGTTTAAAGCCGGGCCAAGCCCACGGCGGCGCATGCGCGAAGAGTTACTCACCGCCCACTACGCGGCGCTTCCGTCCCCAGCGCGCATGCGTAAAGCTCCGAGTCGTTAGCCCTCCCCAGCCACCTTCTCGGGCGCATGTGCAGAAGTGCAGAGGCGTTAATTTCTGCCCCCTTCACCCGCCCCCTCCCCCCTTCGGGCTCACCATATACCAGGTCCCCAGGATGATGGTCCCGGTGCGGACATGGCAGCAGCCGCAGCACCAGGTGCTGTAAAAGCGGTCCCCGCGGCTCCGTTTGAACGTCATGGGCGCGGTCAGTGGCCTAATCGGCCTCACACCAAAGGGCCGGCTTCCCTGCAGTCGAGTGACCCGACACCTCCAGCCTCCCGAGCTCCTCTGCTTCTGCCGCCAGCAGCCTCTCAGGCCTCCTCCTCTCCGGCCCCGGCCCCGCCCCCAAGCCGACGGGGCGCCTGCGCACTGGGCAGCCGCGAGACCCCGCCTGCCGATCCCGCCCATAGGCCAGGGCCCAATGGAACGCGGCATGGGGAGGCGCGGGGCGGGACCTACGGGCCTCGCCCAATCAAGAGAGGCCTCCAGTGCCCCCGCACCCCTCCGCCGTCCGTTGAGCTGGCCTAGACAGTCAATGGAGGGCCGTTTGCGTACGTGGAGGGCGTTGGACCACTTCGGGGAAGGGGTGGGTTTAGCCCGACTGCCCCGAGGTCAGGCCTTCCCCCGCTCCCGGGGATTGGGGACCTAAGCAGAGAGGGAGACGGGCCCCTCGGGGATCAGACTTTGCGAGCTAGGAGGGTGCACCGAGGCAGTGGCGAGGCGACGCTGGCCTGTGGGGGAGGGGGGAAGCACATGACCGGGTGGTGCTGGGTGCGTGACGTCACCTGAGCCCGCCTCCCGGGGCGGGGCCGAGGGAGCACGCGAGGACAATAATACTGAGAGTGAAGCCGGCGCTTTCTAGGAAGAAAAAAACTGGGCAGCAAGGAACTAACCCTGTGCAAGAGTTCAGTGTGTCATTAATTACTGTAATCCAGGCCCTCTTCTGCACAATGGGACAATGCCAGCCCGTTGGGGGCGCCCAGTCCATGCTCGTTCCCTCCACCGTCCTCCAGCCTGGAGCGCTCCTCCTCCGGATTTCCCACGGATCCCAGCTCAAATCCTGCCCGTAATGACGCTTACAATCAGCATCCAGGCAATTTCTGGCTCGAAGAGAGCGATCCGCACTGGCACCTTCCCCCATGCCGGCCACTTGATTCTGTCCTAAGGCGGGGTCTTGAACAAGAAGGACGATCCTGGAGGGTTAAAATCCCCATAGCATTCCAGAGTGGATAGCCCTTGGACCTGATCAGTATCATCCATAACCGAATCCGTCCTGGCGCGGGTGGGGGTGGGAGTGGGGAGGGAGGCGAGATCTTCCCTGGGTAAGACTGGGGTTTGTTTTCCATTCCTGAGCCTCCACTTTTGTTCTCCCCGTTTTCCTGAAGGTAAAAGTCTGGAAAGGGCTTTAGGCTGGAGAGAAACAAAAGGGTTTTCAGTCTCCTGGTGACTCCCTGCACTTTGAGATTTTCTCTGGCCTCAAAGCACCATCAGGGAGACCGTTCCTGTGGTTACGGAAGGTGGTTTTGTTAAAAGGGGAATGAATTAAAAAGTGAGAAGTAACGGCCATTATTCCCAAAGATGTATGCTGTAGACTGCTGCCCTGGCAGTCCTGAGAATTTGTTCTCCAGAGAAACTGGGGCTTTTCTGCCTTAGAAGCCATAGAACCTGGCAGGCCACTTCTCTGGGCCTCGGTTTTCTCGTCTATAAAATGGGGCTGCTGAGATGGGAGCCCTTCAAGACTGTGATAGAAAAGCCCCTTGCAAGCAATTAACGTTCTTTCTGTAAATGTTGGGCGTGTGTGTGCAGTGCAGAAATACTTTCCCTTTCCCCTTTCCTTTTGAATGATGAAAATGTAAAGCACCTCTTCCCCCCCACACACATACCCACACCCCATGCATAGAGATGAGTGGGGCCTGCTTGGTCACTAGGGCCCTAAACCCAATTCTGAAGCCAAGTTCAGGGTTCCAGCCAGAGGTGATACCCCCTCAAGCTTGCTGGTTCCCATTCCTTGGCCTTTCAGGAAGAGAGTCAGTGAGGGGGCACCACGGCACAGAGCACCTGACTGGGAGTCTGGGAGACCTGAATTCAAATCCACCCTCAGACAGCCCCTGGGCAGCCTGCCTTAGTTTTCTAATGGGGGGGGATAGTGCCTGCCTCCAGGGTGGTTGTGAGGACCCGATGAGATAATCATTGTGAGGTATTATGAGAAGGTGTTGGCATGGCTGGGACTGCTGAGGCCATTGTCCTGTGCTTGGATCCCACAGCAGCCCCTGAGGGCTGCCTTCCCGAGAGGTCTATCCCTCCCCTTTGATTCCCCCTCTCTTCAGAGGAAATCTGACTTGGTCGCTGGCAGGGGCGGGCCTGGGGGTGGGGCTCGGCATGTCCAAAGGCTCCTTAAACAGGTCCTTGTAATAAAGCTGGCTAGTTGTCTGTAATTTTGCTTGAATGGAGAGGTTGGGAAAGGCCCAAGAGGCCTGGGAGAGATGTGTCTGTTGGTCAAGTGGAATTTCTGCCTGGGGGCTCTGAGGGGTTGATCCCATTTTATAACATCCAGGGGCAAAGAGAACGCCTGGGCCAAGTCAGCGGCAGCAACATCCACCCTCAGATCCCAATCCCCAATGGAGACAGCCTGGGACCCTGAACCCCAGAGCCTTGGGAATGGCCCCCAGCTGGCTGCCAGCATTGAGCCCACCTTACTCACCAGCCCCAGAAACAGCTGCTGGAGAAGATGAGCAAGGAGTAGGGGAAGCGGGCAGAGGGCATGGGGGAAAAGTGGGCAGGAGAGGGGGGTGCAGGGGGGCAGAGGGTAGGGGGAGCAGTAGGGGGGGGTGTGCCAGAGGGCAAAGAGGGAAGCCGGGGGGGGGGGGGAAGGGGGAAGCGGGCAGGAGGTAAGCTTCTGATCAGAAACAACCTGGAGGGTTGGACGTAAACCCGCGCACCTTTCCTGACAGTTGGCTCTAGAAACACTGCGACTCTACATGGAAACGCTCATTTGGATCCTGCCCCACATCGTGACACCTCTCTGCACCTCCCCCATTCTGGGCTGGGAAAATGAACAGATGGGACTTTTTTCTCGGATTTCCCTTCAGGACTTGGTCCAGCGTATGTTCTAGATCTTTTTAGAACAGTTGTAGAGGAGAGCTCGGCTCTTGTAGAACCTCACTTCCCCTTGACATGTTGGCTGCTGGGGGAACCGCAGTGAACAGAGAGCACTGGACTTGGAATCAGAAAGACCTGAGTTCAAATTCTGCTGTAGACACTGTGTGACCTTGGGCAAGTCACATAACTCCTGTTGGCCTCAGTTTTCCCAACTGTAGAATAGGAATAATGATAGCATCTGCTTCCCCAGGTCAGGATCAAATAAGATCCTATTTGTAAGGCATTTAGCAAAGTTCCTGGCACACAGTAGGTACTTAATAAATGTTTGGTTCCTTCATTTGAGCATTTTTTCTGTGCTATTGTGGGTCAAGCTACTTGTTTATAGTCTGAAGCCAGGGCCGAAGCACTCTAATTCCTTCTCAGGAGCAGCTCTCTTTCCCCTCTGAGTCCAAATACAATTTCTTGGTTCCTAACTGACTTTAAAGAGTGTGACCAGTTTCCTCCCCCAACCTGAATGTGCTTCTTGTGAAACGTCAGTCCAGTTCATCCAGTGACTTTTGAAGGCATCAGAATTGATCAGGGACTCTATAGTTGACTGATTCACTTGAAGTGTCCAGACTTTGTTCATACCTAGTAAAAACAGTGTTCTTGATCAGTTAAGGGCGGAGTGCCTTGTGGGGTGAGATACTTGTTGAGACAAGGCCCTTCTCTTATTTTTCTGAGAAGTTACCTATGTCAGTGTAGGTCAGAGGGGAGAAGGAGATGTCAGGCGACTGCCAGTGCCGTGGTGTCATATTGGAGCCAAACCAGGATTGCCCAACTCGGCTTTCTCCCTGCTCTGTCAGAAAATTGCAGCTTCCTTTCCACATAAAACAGTTTCCTAAAACATAGCCCTTTTAGAAAACATATGCACACGCTGCAGTGAATGTATCTGTATTAGGAGATTAATGTTTACAAATGGGACCAGCTGCCCTCCCAGCAGATCTTGTCCTTGGACTAAGCTTCCAGAACCATCAGAGGCCAGGGAACAGAAGCAGATAGTTTCGTGGTTACTGTAGCAAAAAGTTTCAAGGAGATGGTTCAGTTGGTTATGAGGCTTCCAGATGCCTTTCCTGTCACCTTCCCTGGTCCCCAGAGCGGTGGTGGAAGCTGAAGCCAGGCTGGCTGAGGTCAGTGCCCCTAGAGCGGCAGTGGAAGCTTCTGCTGGCACTTCTCTGCTGCTGAGCTTTTGGACGGCCCTCTGCTCCTGGGCCTTCCTCACTCTCTGCTGCCTTCTCCTCCTGGAATGTTCCTCTACAAGGCCCACCCCTTCTCTCATTGGTGAGTTCTTCCACAAGCCGCCATTTTGTGGAAAGGCCTAGGCTGGCTTCTCCTCCTTGGCTGTTCCTGATTCTCTGGGCTTAAAAAACACATCCCTGGATTCAGTACCTCCATTCCCCACTCTGTTCACTTTCCTTGTGTTTGGTCTTCATCTTGGGAGTCCTTGAGACTTCCTCCCTCTTCCCTCCCTCCCTTCCTTCCATCCTTCCTTCCCCCATCCATTCAATGGTATGGTAATCTGGTTCATGTGAACCTTCCCTCTAATGATGTCAGTAGCCTCTCATCCATACCTGTCCCCCCTAGAAGACCCTTGTTTATGTCCTCCCATCAGCTGGTCATGAGAGGTCCATCCATTACTCCTTACTTTCCCAACATGGAAGGGATACCAATGGAGCTCACATCCCACACTACTCCATGGCTCTGACCATGGGTCTCACCCCTGACTTTGAAGCTGTCCTTTATGCTGATTCTTGTTCTTGGCTCCTCACTTTTGGTGTGTTGCAGCTGCACACACACCCTCCGTTTCTCTACTGCCCGCTGAGTGATCTTCAACTTCTGTTCTTCAGAACCTTCCATGACCCACTGCCAGTTCACGAGTCTAAAATGTCTCCACTGGTTAGCCCACACACTGGGGAAAACTGACCACAGAGAATGCAAAAGCATTGAAAGGTTTGGTTTTTCCTTTTTTAAGTACAAGTTCTGAAAATTTCTCTCAAATGAGCTCTGCAGATTGTCTTTACCTCTTTGATGTGATTGGCAAACAAAAAACAAAATGAAACGAACCTACTTTATTTTTTTAAATTTATTTATTTTTAGTTTTCAACATTCACTTCCATAAACTTTTGACTTTAAAATTTTCTCCGTCTCCCTCCCCAAGATGGCATGCAATGTGAAATAGGCTCCATGTATACATTCCTATTAAACATATTTTCACATTAGTCATGTCGTAAAGAAGAATTAAAACCAATAAGAGGAACCACAAGAAACAATACAGAAGGAAAAAGAGCAAACAGTATGCTTCAATCTGCATT